GTTTAGTCACGTGTGACTTTACAGCAAGGGCGTGGGCGGTGTATGGCTGCAGGTGATGGAGATTCTGAGCGTGATTATTGTTTTCGATTTGTGTGTAGGTGGAGGAAAAATTTTTCACATAGATCGACAGATTATTCACGGGTCCGTGGTGTTAAACCTTTTCCGCAGCCCGTGGATTTTCTATTTATTTTTATTGCTTAGATGAGCTCAACTTGGGAGAGTTGTTAATGCTGGCAAGAGCAATGCTTCGTTAAATCAGCTACCGGATCGGAATCGCTACCCACTGAGAAGATCTATAAATGAATAAATGAATGAATGAGGAAAACGACTGGTTTAGGGTGATTAACCTAAAGCCAGAGAACGTCAGACTTGTGAATGAAATCAGTGTGTAAGAAGTTAGAGAAACAGTGAGAAGTATGAAAAATGGATAGTCGGTAGGGCCAGACGGAATACCAGTGGAAGTATGGAAGATATTGGGCTAAGACGGATATAAGTGACTGACTTTATTCTTCAAACAGCTGCTGCAAGAAGAAGCGATCCCTACGGAATGCAACGCCAGTGTACTGGTGCCCATATACAAAAATAAAGGAGATGTTTAAGACTCTGGCAGCTCGGGGAATAAAGATCATGTCACATAGTATGAAAGTTTGGGAGAAAGTGATAGAGAAGCGATTGCGAGTTGAAAGTCAGATCACCCAAAACTATTTCAGGTTCATGCCTGGTCGCGGGACAACGGACGCCATATTTGCACTCCGACAAGTGTGCGAAAAATATCGTCATGTGCACAGGAATCTGCATATGGTGTTCGTTGATCTTGGAAAAAGCGTACGACCGAGTACCTAGAGTCGTTTTGTGGTGGGCATTGAATGAGAAAGGTATACCTGGTAAGTATGAGAGGTTAATCTGTGCCATCTACAGTCAATCCAGAACGTACAAACGAACCGACGCAGCGAATTCCGACGAGTTTAATGTGGCAATGGGCTTACACCAAGGGCTTGCGCTAAGTCCCTACCTCTTCCTGCTGGTAATGGATGCCTTGACGACGGAGATACAGGAAGATACCCCTTGGTGTATGCTGTTTGCCGATGACATAGTGCTCGTCGGAGAAAACTGGCTCGAAGTTCAAAACATACTGGACAAACGATGATGCAAGTTGGAGAGTGTTGGCTTAAAAATCAGCAGATTCACAACCGAACATCTCTTCTCTGATTTTGGCAGTCTCTCCAATTTTACACCCATTTCTCTTAACGGAGCACTTTTGCCGGTATGTCAAGACTTCCGATACCTAGGGTCTGTTATCCAAAGCAACGGCAAACTGGATCGTACTGTGAGGCACAGAACTGATGCAGGATGAATGAAATAGCAGCTGGTCACGGGCACCATGTATGACTCACACATTTCTCTTCCCTTAAAAGGAAAGATATATAAGACCTTAATAAGGCCTGCCGTCTTGTATGGATCAGCTGCTTGAACGACTAAAGTTGCGGATGAAAGGCGATTGCAAGCAGCAGAGATGCGAATGTTGCGATGGATGTGTGGAGTAACGAGAATGGATAGAATACAGATTGATTATGTTAGAGGAAGTCTGAAAGTGGCACTTGTGACGGAGAAACTAAGAAGTGCGTGTTTGGGATAGTATGGACATATGATGAGACGAAATGAAAGTGAGGTTGGTAACAGAGTGCTAACTATGAATGTGCAAGGATGTAGGGGAAGAGGTAGATAGACCTACGAAGAAATGGATGGATTGCGTGAAAGACGATATGTGTAAGAGTGTGTAAGAGTGTGTAACTTTACTATCTCGAATGCAAATTGTGTCACAGTAAAATATATTTGTTTAAAAAACCCGTTTTCGATATGCTATTTATGTTATTGTTTATTGTGTATTTATGAGATTTCATTATCCACACTCTCGAATTGAAATCTGTCCAGCTTCAAAGAAGGAATGCAAGCTTGTGTGAGTAAAATGCGTTGACAATACGCTTTACAACCGAAAAGATTTTCTTTATGATTGAGGGATTAGTAGTGGCCCAGAGGCCTTTCCAGTTTCACCAGGACAAGTGGCCGAGCAAGCGCTCAGCTAGGAGGGGTGGGATTGGCTAACAGCTACCCGAGCGCCTCCCAAGGAGACCTAAAAACTCAAGAGTAGCAGCTGGTTCGCGAATGAATTTACTACCGGATCGGAATCAACTGAAAAGTCTCTTCTATTATCTTCCATTTTCTCCCAACTGATTACTACACAATATCGTACATACGGTACTATAAAGTCACACTTATGCAATGCAATTGTTAACACTGAAATGAGTATGAGAAAATATATTTTTTAATAGTTATTAATGAGACGAGAGGGATGTTTGCTTTTACTGATGAAGTTTGTAGTTCATTTTATTTCTATAACCTAGCAAAACTATGTAAGAATTATATAATAAGATGTTGAATTTTCCAACGTTTCTCCTGAAAAATTACATAATATGCATAAGTGACGTTATCGCACCGTATGTGCGATATATAAAGTCCACTCTATAGTTTGATTTAATACGGTGTTTCGACATCCTATCGGACATGGTGCATTGTGCAACATTTATCGATAGCAATACACCTGGGTCTTCAGTGTGAACTATAAGCAATGGAAATCGTTTTTTTTTGTTTGAAGGCTTCATCTTGATAAGTTTTGTTACGGGTGGTTTACGGGGAAATTGTTTTTTTTTATTTTTTATTTTTATTGCTTAGATGTGTGGACGAGCTCGCAGCCCACCTGGTGTTAAGTGGTTACTAGAGCCCATAGACATCTACAGCGTTAATGCGCCACCCACCTTGAGATATAGTTCTAAGGTCTCAGTATAGTCACAACGGCTGCCCCACCCTTCAAACCGAAACGCATTACTGCTTCACGGAGAAATAGGCGGGGCGCTGGTACCTACCCGTGCAGACTCACAAGAGGTCTTACCACCAGTAATTACGCAAATTATAATTTTGCGGGTTTGATTTTTACTGCACGATGTTATTGCTTCACCGTGGAAGTCAATTGTGAACAATTGTAATTTTTGGCTTAAAAGAATTAACCAAGGCTTCTTTTTATTAATAGGCCTTCTCTTCTACTCATCTTCTATGAATATCCAAAAGCTGTAGACATTGCTTACCACTGGGGGGAGCAAATTTTAATGAAAAAAAAAAACTGACTTCAACAAAATAAAATTAAAATATCGTTAATTAACAAATAGCGGACATAAAAATATTATATGTATGTATGTATGAATATGTGATTATGTATATATGTATGTATGTATACACTTTTTTATGTATGTATTTGTAGCTTAATATAAATTTCATTGCACCTACCACTATTCACTCTGCACTACCTTTGGTTGACTGGTAGAGAATACCTTAGGCATTAAGTCCGCCAATGTAAATTTTACATGAAGTGTATTAAATAAAAAAATAAAAAAAAAGTTTTTGACATTTTGCTCCTTTTTGTCCGTTTCTTATTCTATATGCCTGTTGATAATTAAATAAAAAAAAAAGATTTCTCATTCGATTATTACTGTTTAAGCTAACAGTAAAGTTGTTTTTAACAGGCTTCATAAAAAAGGAGGTTATCAATGCGACTGTATTGTTCATGTACGTTACTGTATTATTAGATTATATTTAGGTGAACCGTTTTTATAATTATTTTTAAAGTTTTATCAAGATCTGACTATAATTTTAAGTATTAAGCTTGATCCTACTTAGGTCTATCTAATCGACGATCTTATTTTGTTTTTTGAAGTCGGTTTTAGTTTTTTCAAACTTTTTAATAATAGGGGTTAAAGTATGAACTTGCCGTTTTATTGTAATATGTACTTCGAATTGACATAGAACCTTGATGATTTGAGATTTTTGAGTGAAACTTCTTTCAAATGGTACCTATGAGGTTCTTCTTTTAAAAAATGTGCAACATTCGATTATCGATTTTCAGTTGTTTTTTTCATTCAGCTTAGACAAGAAAGATGGATACTTCGAAAATTCGAGAGATTATTGAATATGAGTTCCGACGCGGAACTAACGTTGTAGAAACAGCTCGCATTATCAATGTTGCGCTTGGAAAGGGAACTGCTAATGAACGCACCGTGCGATTTTTGTTTAAACATAATGGAAATTTTGATTTGAAGAACGAACCACGTGGTAGATCGCCCACACATGTGAATAACAATGAATTGGAAGCCGATCCGAGCCAAACTATCCAGGAATTAGCGGCATACCTTACAAACAATATTGACTCATTTGCGTCAAATCAATAGAATAAAAAAATGTGAAAAATTGTTGCCTCATAATTTGACAGATCTGCAGAAGATCTTACTTGTCTGACTGCGCTGCCTATTTCAGCCGTGAAGCAGTAATGCGTTTCGCCAGACCTTGCTCCATTTTTTGTTTGCTACCATTTTTTTCGTGATTTGGACAATTTTCTACGTGATAAAAAGTTTTCTTCCCAAGAAGCATTAGGCAGTACAAAATGCTTATACACAATTTTTAGAATCTAGATCACCAGAGTTCTATCATAAAGGCATAAATAATCTTTCTATGAGATGGTAGCAATGTATGGATAATAATGGTAGACATTTTGATTAAACAAATATGTTAAATGAATAAAAAAACGAATTTCAACTTTTTAGTAAAAATCGGCAATTTCATACTTTGACCCCTAATAGGTTTTATAATGTTTGAATGTGTTATAAATACTGTGTTAGTATCCGTAGTTATTAGTATTACTGTTAATATGTAATTATCGTATATTACTTTCTTATTGGAAAATTATTTCAATTATGTTAGAATTATTTATTGTTTCAGAATAAATTTCTTTACAATCAAGAATCAGAAAATGAATAGTGTAGTTGCGTGATTGATTTAAATAAAATGAGGATTTTTTTAATTATTTAAGTATTTATTATTGAATACGAAAATTCAAGTTGACAATAAAAATGACTTATATCTAATAATAATTGTCATAATATTTTGACTATCTATGCAGTATACAGCAGTAATAATTGTTTTATTTACTGAATTACAATAATTTCAGACAAATAGTCCGTCTACTAATAATTTTCAAATTCGAAACATTACCATTGTATGATGAAAATACCCGAATGGATTTTCATGAAATATCTTGCTAAATGACGAAGAGTACAAGATATCTTAATAACAATTCACAACTACGACTAATTAATGTAAAAATATGGAAAGGCACTATGCTTGAATAACAGAAATAAAAATTCGAAGATGATCATAAATTTTAGTTAATTTTCAATTAACATACATTTAGTTCGAATTAACAATTCCCAATTATAGGAACTACTACGAAATACGAATGATTATAATTGCATTAGTAACTTAACAAATGGAGGAGTGAATATTACAATATTCAATATTTCATATTATTATCATGTTTTAGAGTGCGATATAAATGTAAGACTACTGTGAATGACATGATGTCAAATGGAAAAAAAAACAATCTTAAATTATGTCTCATAATAATACTGAATGATTCACAGCTCCGATTACAGTTTACTAGTCAATCGTGAAACGTTTGAGGTCGTTTTTCTGTCTTGGTCCTTGACGAAGATAGCATTACATCGTCGACTAGCTCTGGGTCATTATTACACTACTGATATGATGAGAACGCATCTCCCTAGCACATTATTCTAATCGTTATTTTAACCAGTCTTGATCTCCGTCCGTGTTCGGTCCTTAGTTGCACAATTTTCATGTTTAGCTGTTTACCGGTTGAGTCCCATGGAAGCGCAGCAGACTGCGTACCTTGGAACTCTTTGGGTGGGTAGACCAGAAAGTCCCCGCACGTAGGTATAAGTTACGGGAGGCCGGAGAATGCGTTTTGGCTGCTGCTGTTTTTTCGGTGGCCGTGTTCGTTCTGTAGGTGTGCAGGACTGGGAGCGCGTTGTTAAATTCAAACTTTGGAATACTCGTCGAAGGGAAACTGTGGAGCGATTGCGACGTTGGCGTTCAGAGCCGTCGCTGCCGGATTCACTGGTAGAACACGATGAATGGTCATCCGACCGGCCATCGCGAGCGGTGTCTCCAGACATACTATCACTGCTACTAGAGCTTCCGATTGAATCAGCGTCAGTCCCTCGCCTGGAAATGCGTCTGCTGAGAGCCTTTAGCAGGCGTCCTCCGCGAGGAGTTGAAATAGTTTCGGTCGTCTCTTCCATCGGAGGGCAAACAACGATTTTCGGTGTCATCGATGGTCGTCGCGTATTCGTCTTGCTAAGCCGCTGTTCTTCCACCGCGTTTACCGGCAGATCGCCAGAGAACACTTCCCGCGTCATAAAATTGACTGACAATTTGTTTTTCATATGGTCGTTAGGTTTGTAGCTTTCAGGCGAAAAATCACCCGAAAGAATTCTTTACTCGTTTAAAAAACTTAAGGTCGAACACTGATGTTGTTCAAACTTTTGCGTTCACCGCGTGTGTTACACAGTAAGAGGAGTGCAAGGATCGCTTCACGAGAACGTGGCGCGTACTATAAGCGGGCTACAGCCGACAAGCTTTAAATACTTTTTTTCGCGCATGCGTAGAACCATATGCATCGGTGCTAGCATTCATTTAACAGCCACAGGACTTTTCCTTCTCAAACAACACTTAGTTCCATAGCTGTAACGCGTCGACGTGATTCAAAGAAAACTATAACAAAGCATTGAATACAGAATTTTAATTAAGTTGCGTTCTCTCAAGTTGATGACGGGTTCTTTTAAATGTGATTTAATAATCTAAGGGACAATTTTGTCGATCGAATCGAGAAATTTAAATCGAAACACTATTCTTTCGATTTGGTTGTTTCAAAATACGATTTCTGTTCAATTGGTGATATTGGCTTTCTTCATAGTTCATATAATCTCTTACTATTTAATAAAACAACAAAAAATACGAAGTTTAGTGAGTTTTATAAGCAATAAATAACATTCCTTTATAAATTTATCAAAAAATGTTTCGAGACATTATTATTAAAGCTCTTGTTCCTTACCAGCGTAGAATGTGTTAAGTGACAATTCATTTGTTTGAATATTGGGGATACAACAAACTTAATAATTGTGAGTACTAAATTAATGAAATTAACACTGTTTATTATACTTAACTACTCACTAAATATATTAAGACTATTTAAATACACAGCGCGTCGAAAGCCTAATCAGAATGAAACAGTCTTCCAGTGCAGATTAGTAAATTGTATTGTAGGGGTCACGTTTTTTAAAACTGCTTTTTATTTGAGGAAAATTTCATCTCCCGACTGTCGTTTCCTGGGTTTCGTAAACATATAGACATCACAAAGTAACCGACATTGAGACCCGAGGTCGGTCTTCATTGTATTCTATATCGACAATCCAAGACTTCAAAGTGAAATATTAGACTGCTTTACGGCAGAATTCATTATTTCTGCGAGTTTTAATTCTACTACTTTATTTATTCTTTTTTTATCTTTGTGCCCAGGCATTTTCAGTCATCCAAGTCAACAGTCAACCAAGGGTTGTGTATAGAGTAATGCGGGAGGTGCGGTGCTTTTTGAAAGAAAAAAAAAACACTTAAACAAAAGACACATAACATACAAAGCCGTAACAATCTGTTACTTTTTATCGTTAAGGTCTTTCGTGTACATGTCATAGGTACGTATTTCCCTCCCTCGACCGGGTATGTGTAAACGGATTTATTTACCAGTGTTGAAAAAAATAATAGGTACGTATTTCCTTTTTAATTTGTAAATGCCGGCGGATTTCGAGTATTTCAATACAGACTTCTGGATTAGAAATTAATCATGAGCTACTGATCATACGGTTTCAAACTCTTATGGATTTTGGAAAGATTAATGTTTTGTTTAATAGGATTGTCGAACAACCGACTGATTGTGACATTTAAATAGAAATTTATATTATTTATGTATGTGGATATACTTTGAAAAACTATTAAAACCATTACTATTATCGCATTAAAAATAGACTGCTTTGCCCCATTATGTTGTTTGGTTTGACATACGAAACAAGTACGAACGTAATATTTCTTCTGTGAGTTAAAATACTCCGAGATAAGACAGCACTGAGATATGGAGAACTGAGTAAATCAAAAAGTCAAATTCGGTGTTAAGCTGTTTGTTATCGTTACGAAAATTCTATTGCTTTCCCTAAGACATACAGTTGAATTGTCAATTTCAGTACATTAACTAACCCTTCAACAAAGAACAAAACAACCAGAAAATGCATTTTCGTTATTACAATCTCCCAGAGTCTCGATCTCACGTTTAAAGGCGGTTGGAGACATTCACGTTGTCGTAACCACAGGTATTGTTGGATGTGAAATTCTCTTTCATCTGCGGTAGTTAAAAAAATACGACAAAAAGTATTAGTAAGCTCACAATGAATGGTTTTGTCTGCTTCAAAATATTAGAGAATGTGGCGTAATTTATTTCTGATTGGGAATGCTATCATCCATTTTAAGTCTGTGAGTCCGACGTACTATTATCCTGTTGAAAATATTGAAAAAAAATTATGGAAGGAGTTGGTTGTTTTTATCTGTATTGACGACTTACAACGTAAAAGTTAACTATTCAATGCAATGAGTCTAGGGACATCGCAGACCGCTGGATGAATTCAGGAGATTTGATTTAAAATAACAAAATCAAAAGTACCTACTCGTAATAGAGTAGAGATACTACCGTGCTTACAAAATAATGGAAAATCAATTTCTAATTTATACCGTGGTATTAAGTCCATTAACGGGTATCCTTGTTATTTTGTATTCATTTAACCCTCCCTAATTTTTATTCTGATTAGCCCAACTAAAATCATTAAACATGTAGTGCCCAGCTCGCTTTGTGAGAAAAGGAAAGGAGTAGAAATTGTTCGTCTATCTGTACTAATATTAATATAAAGTGGAAAGATTTGATTGTTTGTTTGCATTGAATAAATTCCAAAACTACGAACCGATTTGACAAATTATTTCACTATTGGGAACCTACACTGTCTTTGGGTGACTTAGGCTAATATTATTATTTTTAAAAATTAGGGATCCTTACTAAAACTCCAATAAGGTAACCCAAGGTATAAAAAAAATACCTAAAATCTTGCTTAAATCGCGTGTGCTGCGAAAACTATTGATCATAGAATAAAATAATGCAATACGACTTTGCAGAGCACATCATAATTTAGAAAAAGAGACCCGACAGCATATGTCTAACTATTATAGTTATGCCATAATAAGTGTTAATATTGGCTAATTGGAAATCTCTTAGCTTAATAAATTCCTGTCTTCTACCTTTGTTTTTTATGTATCAACTTTTTACGAAAATTATAAAAATAAAAACCTTATTAAAAATTTAAAATTAAATAAAGATTATAACAAAAAGATAATAAAAATAAAAATTAAGTTCATTAAAATAATAATATTCAAACTTTCTTTACAATTTTCTTCTTTTTTTTTGTAACCTGACACTAATAGAAGGGTATATGTGTGTGTATTATAATTTTTTATTTTTTTTTCAATTCTTGGGCGTAGCTGAGGCGTGAGGTTTAATTAGTCAATATAAAAGAGCAGTAAATTAAATTGATCAGCTCAGGTGCAACTCGTGTTCCACGTGATTCGATTGTAAATTTAATTGCTTTATTAATGTCGGTGTATAAAGCTAGTAAGGATCACGTGCTACCCTAGAAGTACAATAAAGAAAAAGAAAAAACATAATTAACAGCAGTGCAGTTAAAGCAAAGTTAATTTATCGTAAAATTGAACGCATATTTAGTCAGGCGTTTGATATTGATCCAAAACGTGACATGAATTTGATTTCACTTTTAAATAATAAGAACCGTGTGCCCTAGAAAACAGTCCAATGAATGATAACGGGCTTCTAGCCATTGACTTGTCTCATTGGCGATCTGTGGTCATCGTGTATCTTTAGTTAATAAATTTGATTGAACCAAAAATATATCACCATTAAACAATTGAAAGTTAATCCATTGAACGAATTATTCAGTATCACATTAATGTAAACGAAGTTATTAAGTATACATGCAAATTTCAACCAGTTACATTACTTTTGTAACCAAATAGTTTTAAGTATTTTGGGTGATGGTGAATTTACCAAAATGTTTTTAAACTAATTCTAAATTTGTTGTTACTATAATTATTTTCTTTTTTATTTTTAATAAATAATTTTAACTTCTAAATTATTGGGAAGTCAAATAATTTTTAAAATTAACAAATGTCTATACCGAAGGAGTGAGTAGCATGATATTGTATTATTAAGTGTTCGATGTTCATGCTTGTATCACGTAATATAGTTTTACTAGTGGCATTCACACATTACGTAAACACTTTCCGTCACAAGGAAATTGTAGTTAATTGTAACTAGACATCGTGGGATTAATGCATATTATGTTTCTAAAAAAAAATCGTTAGAAATGATAGTTTGTCAGAAGATCAACGAAAATAAGCCCGCATCAAATGTTAAGTTTGATTTAACATTTTACCATCACACTACGAGCCACTGAAGAACTCGTAATAGTATTGAAGTGATCAATTTTGTCAAAGATAGTCCGGCTCTGGAATTAATTAAGCTCGTTTTTCAATATTTTCACCGTGTTTCTACGTATACATCTTTTCAAGCCACACAAGATTTAAAAATCATCGAATAAGGTTCCAATTAGGAAATTTATACCTAATGTAACAACGGCAACAGCAATTACACCACGAATATTAAAACGACTCAATAAAAATAAAATAAATTTAACATGAAGAGCATCAATAACGTGTTAGGAACATTATATTTATTAACGTTAATTTAATTTAGCGAGCTGAAACATTATTGTAAATAAGTTGCTGATTCCATTTCTACACTATAATCATGAAACTGATCATTTTATTTAAACTAGAGGTCCCGCAGTAGTCGAAATTCGACTATAATTAATTGGAATTGTAAGTTTGTACACTATTATGATTGTATTTTATACTTCTATAATCACAAATTTCGCCATGGCTACTCTATAAAAAAATATTAATACAGACAAACAATATTTTATTTTAATCTATTCTCAATTTGACAACAGACGTCCAGAACAAAAGTTTGACAATAAATAGTATGCATGCGTGTGTGCGTCAACTACATGGTATGTAGTGTGTGTAATGTTGTCGTTAATTGATTTAATGTATCTTTTATGCATTATTTTAAAAAAATATTACCATTGTGCACTTCTTCTCTATATTCTCTATAAATGTGGAAAATTTCATACTCCTCCGTCCGCGCAATTTTCGTAAAAAGGGATACAAAGTTTTTGCTTCACGTATTAATATATAGATGGGATTTCTATAAACAGACGTAAAATTAAGTATCGGAACACGACGGGTTCTTAGTTGAAGATACTCCATTGCTTCGTAAAAGGTGATCGTCGTTACGGAGGTGTCGTCGCCATAGACAAAATTTAGCCCGGGATGAGCTTCAATCAAAACTTCGATGATGATTCA